ACCCATTTGGTGACTTAGGAGCTCCACCGTGTCGATGTCGGAGTACGGACACTCCACTTGTTGGATGGGGGAATCAAGTAATTGGATGGTCGGTATCGGTGGAGGGAGTTGGGCCTCCGATATCGATACTGCCGTTGGAGTGGGAGGCACTGTAGGGGCATCACCCAGTGCATACACCGCTACCTTCCCCTTCTTCGCCGCCTTAAGGGACTTTGAGGTGCCCTTCTTCACGGACATGATCTTGGCTTTCTTCTTGATTGGCGTGGAAGCGTAAGATTGTGCCTTTGATGCCGGGAGCTTCAGTGTCGGGCGGTCAGCATCAGAGGCAGGTCTCGATGCCGGAGCTATCAATGTTGATGGTCTGTCCTCCATTGCTGAGGCAGGAGTAAGGGCCGATTCAAGCAGCGCTACTTTAAGGCGCGCAGCTCGGTTTTTCCGTGTTTGATTAGAAAAATGAGCACAGTGACAACAGGACTTTGGCCGGTGAGACTCTCAGAGACAAAAAATGCACAGGATATGATGGCCGGGTGGATCAAGTTTGCTGCCGCAACCCTTGCACCAATTGAAAAAGCCCCACTTCTCCATAAAAGAAAGCGAAGAAGAGGGAACGTTTGAGGGGGAGGTAGCCCGAAGGCCTGAGGTAATCAGTAGACTCCCCCTCAACAGAACATAAAGGGTTTTTTTTAAAGTTTTTTTAGAAAAACAAACAAATAAAAAGAGGAGAGGAAAATCAAAATAAGAAAATAACTCCTAAGAGCTGTGAGGCGAATAGCCAAAAGTGAACTGATCTGACCGACGAAAAAGAGGTCTACTCAACGCGGCGGTAAGAAAGGAACTGGCGGGATGTCTGTGCCCACCCCTCTGGGCATGCGTGGTGGGGTTCCTGCGCATGCCAGAGGGACTGGGCGCGAAAATCCGTTAAAAGAGCTTGCTACAGCACCGATCAATCCAGCACATGCACACTAGATCCCATGGGTGTGAAGCACAGAGACCACGTTGAAGATCATCTTCCTCCCCAAGACAGAATAAGCAGAGGGAATGGCTATCCATCTTTGGAGCTGTTGCTATGCAGCCTGTGTATGGACTTTTGGGACACTGTTCCTTAAATCCAAAGCAAAATGTAAGGCTGCTGAATAGCTAAACTATCGTTGCAGCATCCAAGCAGCTTGAAGGGGAGGTGGGGAAGCCTCTGGTGGTGGAAAGTGTCATCCAGTCACAGTGACTTATGGTGACCCCGTAGAGTTTTCAGGACAAGAAAAAAAAGCCTTTACTGACTTAAATTATACTTTGCTTCTTTCTTGACAATGCTGTATTATGATTCCCTTGGCTATATTTTTCTTAGATTAATTGTGGTATGGGTCTTTACAAAATGTTTCTTTTAAAAGTACTTTACGGTTTGGTCAGTCATTGACACTGCTACACTTTCTTGATATGCAAAAAAAGAAAAGAAAATGCTAAGGAAAACCCATCAACAATATGAATGTATTCTATACTAAAATAAAAAAAATTATTAAGCAATAATCTGTTGCATATTATTTCTACTTCATGCTAATGCATTAATTCTGTATTGAGGTTAGTGGTGTTAGTATGCTCCCAGGCAGTACTTTACAACAGTAATAGCTCTTGAACATGACACAATACCTCTGTATGTATATTACACTATGCCCTCAGACGACATACAAAAAGTGTCCATAGACCTTTCTTGATTTGCAGCTATTAAAGTACTATGAGGGTCAATGGCACTGAGGATAATGAAATGTCCCAGACAACAAAAATTCTGGTTATACAGTTAGAAAGTTCTGCCCATGCCAGTGATTGGCAGAAAGTGGAAATGTTGAGCACAAAAATCCCAGTCAGGATGATGCTGTCAATGGGAACTCTTCTGATTGGTCAGCCCTTACCACATGTATCTGGCTGTCCTTCCCCCTCCTGCTACCTAGGAATTTGAAGCCAGACAGCAAGGTACCATAATGACCATCTGTCAAGAGAAAAGTCACCTTCAGAGGAAAGTTCCATTTAACTTTTTTCCCCTCTCTTCTCTGGTCTTGAGCAGGTGTTGGTCACCGCCCCAGATATAAGTTACTAACCAAGGTCATTTCTCAAGCTTGTTAATTAGCCCACCTTTTCCAGCTGTGGATCTGGTCGGGGAAGGTCAGGAGGCTATGGCCTGCTTTTCATATATGATGGGATGGTACATCTTTCCTTTTGCATTTCTTGTTTTCTTTCCTTTACCCCCATCTGTGTTGCCTATGGAGTTTTGCTGTATGCTTTGAAACACCTTTGCTTTTAGGTATGAGAAGCCAACATCTACGTTGCAAGGTTAAGTAAGTGTATGTAGAGAGCTAGTTTTTATTATTATCTGTGTATTTGAACTGCCACTGGAACTATACATATTGCTTTTAAAACCTTTTTAAAAATTTCTTCAATAAAGATTTCTTTTGCTTTATGGTGTGTGTTACTGAAAAGTTTTCTGAACAAAACCCAATTTAAGCTTGGTTATGTTATCAAAGAGAGTCTTGTTCCAGTTTCTTGGTTCGAGAAGGGAGCAACATTCTCAGGCCAAGGCTGGCAGCCTTGACACCATCAACTTGGAAGACTTCCACAATGTCAGAAATAATCCTGGTTAGACGAAGATCCTTTACAGTATTTTAGAATGAGGTATGGTTCAGGTTGGAGTCTCATTAGTAAATTTCTGGCTGCATATCCTTTGTCAAAACTAGTTGCTGACCAAAGGCCTAGCATTTTCTGTTAAGACAAATATATATTCCAATTTTTGTGCAACTGTCAAGGTCTTTCTTAAATCACAATTTGTAGCTTTTCTTACCAAGTTGCATCAGTGAAACAGAATTATAACTTTCCAGGGTAGTTATTTGGCTCAAAAAAACCTTAAATAGGGCATCATTAATGGCTCCAGGCTACATTCTTAAGGCAACAGTAAGTTCCACAGTACAGAAGTAATTGGTTTATTTTTCCAGATCAACTATTGTACAACGTGTTATTTTATTGTCAACAAGAGCCAGCCTTATCATGAAGAAATTATGCTGCAATATAGAATTAAATGACTTGTTAAATTTTAACATGACAAACATTTTCAAAGTTTAGTCTACCCACTTTTTTCAGATTCTCGTTTAAGCAATTAAGCTAGCCTATTACTAATAAATCTAAATTAAAGTGCAATATTGCTGAAATTAGACCATTTTTGTTAAATGTTTCATGAATACATTTCTATCACTCAGGTGTTTGACTGCAATGAAATATTCCATTAAGTGAAGAAGGCAATTTGCAATTTCATGGCTTATTTGACACGCTCTCTAAGTCACATCCTACTTTTTCATTGCATCATGGGGTCATCTGATACTAACAGCAAGAGCAAGGACCTTTGGTCCCCTAGCCCTACAAGTGTCAGGGTCACACAATCATTTACAAGCAGGCACTTCTAGTCCTACCACTCTCTCCAGCTCTTCTGTTCTCTCCTCTCGAGCTACACAGCCTAACTTCACTTACCGATTTTTGGCATGCCTGTTGGCTTATCTGACAGGAAGCATGAAACAATACAGAAGTACTCATCACAGGGGCATAGGGTTATTGTTGCCAATTAGCCAGAATGTTACACAAGGGGAGGACATGCTGCATCACATAATACATGAAGATTTTGTTCTGCTGAATGCAAAATATATATGTAGTGCTGATCCATTGTGTCGCTGCTTAATAAAAAGTCCATAAAGATGTGTGCCTTTTCTAAAAAGCAGGATGTATTTATTAAGAGGGTATGGGCATGTCTTGGTGCCCCAGATATTACAGACTTGCCAGTCAGCTAAATTAACCTCCCCTAAATCCAATATCACTCTGCAGTCTTACCTCAGCCACTCTGAGTGTCGTGCAGCATCTTAGATATGGAGAAGGTGGTGAAGGATATTAGATACCAGACTTTTCCACAGGGAAGACATCAAAGAGCACTTGCCCTTTGCTCTTTTTAAAAGACTTCCATAGAAAAGAAACTCTGCACAATCTTAGAAGCACTTAGTGAAACACACCAACCCTATGCTGATCACAAACAGCCGAGCATCAGGACAACCACTGCATTTGCTGTGTGGAATAGAGGCTTGCATTTGAACTGGCAACAGTTTTTGAGAACTGGTCTCTTATTAACACAATTCTTTTTAAAATAAATGTTTTGAATACTGAAATATAATTTGATAAATGCCAACACTACTTAAGGTGGATCCAGTTTCTTGTTCTAACAATGCACTTAATTCTGCAATTGTGTAACTGCAGCATAGAATAAGGTACTGGATGGACTATCATCTTTATTTGGATAGTACCCTTCGCTATCAAAAAAGTGAAAGATAAAAAAGGCAGCAACATCCTACATAAGAAATAAACAGAGGAGGAAAGTCAAGTGGAATTTAGCATTTGAAAGAGTAGTACTGATTATGGAAATATGCAAGCAACCATCAGTGCTCATCCTTTACTACTTGTGCTTATGGGATCTGACATTTGATCAGACTAAATTTTTAAACAACCTTCAACCATATTTTAAGAATAAGTAATATTTTACTTTCTGGTATTCAGTTTTATGATAGTGACAGATGTTGCTCTTTGTAGTTGCACTGCTTTAATCCAAATAAAATTAAATTACTTTCAACTATGTTTTGAGAAAAATGCCAGAAATAATGGAGATTTAATTTAAGCAATAACATTAAAATGTAAATGTATGCCATTTGTATGGTTTTCCTACATAAAAGCATGCCAGTAAATCTTGGCTGACCTACATTTGCTGTTGTTTGGATTTGACAATTCTAGCAACTAAGTTCAGAATAGCACTGAATTCCAGGTATAGGCAGACTTCTTATTGCATAACAATCAGAAAATGTTGTATGTATCCAAAGGGACTGTCGTGTTTCTCAAAAAGCAGTATCACATAACACACAGAAAATTGTTACAAAACTGAGGCAAGTTTCAAAAGGTGTTTATGACCCACTCACTGCTCAGGTTTAAAAAATCCTACCTACTGCTCAAGGTTGTTATAAAACAGATCCCAGCCATTGTTTTCAAATGCAGACCATGACAGTCAAATTTTAGGCATTGTACATCTAGGACTGTTACTGACGTGCTCGGCAGTGTTTGAGGTATTAAAAACGGTCACCAGCACTTTATTGCCTAGGTTAAAGTCTCAAGTGTTTTAAGATTCCTTCTACGTAGTGTGCCATAAACACAAGTATTTTGCTTTAAAAAGCCAAAGTGGCAGAGAAGATCACTGGCTGAACCTGCCCAAGTCATTTGCTCTGTCTAACATGGACCAGGCAGCTAAAATGGGATAACCAATCTGGATACGTTACCCTGAAATGCTTAAAAGAAGCATGCAATAAAGTAATAACACAATTCATAATTTTGTGTTCCATTATAAAGAAAGAAAGCTTACACAACTTGGCAGAAGAAAAACATTTAGAAATTTTTAGTTTTATGACTGAAAATACATATTTATGATAAGCATCATACAGCACTTGCATCCAACTCCCAAAGTACATATGCAGGAGCAGCAGCACACACGGTACCTGAACATCTGTAGGAGTCCCCGAAAGCAAAAGTTAGTTTAGTGTGACAAAACACCCAAGGGGTTTGCAGCATTCTTAGTTAGGTGAAATTAAATGAACAAAAGACGAACATACTTGAGTACAGCCCTATTCTCATTTGCATAACTCAATTCAAACAACACACATTCAAGTTCAGTGGTCTGTAGTGTTGCAGCATGAAATATTCCTTTTGACACCACCCCTGGAGAGTTGCTCTCTCAATGCAGAAGTCCTTTCCTAGATTCAACAAGCAGAGAAAGGCGGCCACTTCCCCAATGTAGCTAGGCTTCTCTTGGCACTCTTATCTTCCACTCTTTTTGATGATCATTTGAAACAATTCCCAAATGAAGGATGGTATCTGAGGCTGAACTTCCAACATCTTTAAGTTTGTTTGCCTTTGCTTAATTTTTTCATAAGGCTGCAGATTACACCAAAGTCTTTCACTTCTTGAAAGGCAACCCAAATACAAGAATTTCAAAGTAAACATTTATTTTCGGTTCCTGTAGGCCACACACAGATGTAGGACAAATTCTTCACATTTTGAGCCTTCCCTCACAAAGCACGCAATCTATGTCTTATATACAGCAGTAGGTTTATAATGTTTCCTGAACTTAAGGTGCATAGGCAGATGAAGCCTTACGCTGGAGAGAGAACAGCTTATAAATCTTCTCATAAACCGACAGAGTAAAAATGCCTCTTTATGTTATCAAAGTCTTTTCACAACATAAACAAGTTTAAAATAAAATGTAAACTTGACTTCAGACCAATAAAATAACCCAGCACCCTAAATCAAATGTATTTCCAGTATATATTCTTCCAAAAACATCCCCCCATTTTAAAATAAAATTCAAATATATATACACATTTATAACTTAAGTGATGTTTGCTGTAATTTCTTCATGCAAGAGTAAGAGAAGAGATGTTAACTCCTTAGAGAGGCTTTTCTGAAAATGCAGTAAAGCTCTTCACCCGTGCAAAGAACAAAGGGGTGTACATCTTGTCAATGTCAAAAGAAGAGACTGCGGTCTCACCAGTAGATCTATAGGAAAGTATTACAAAAATGTATTAGATCTGCCCAGTATCTTAAGTGCAAAGTAATGAACTACATGATGTTCTCATCTCTCGCTATCTTTGTCAAGCCAACCTGTTATTTGTACTTATGGTCTAAGTCAGGATCGACCCTTGGCACTTACCGTGAGGGGTCCTTCTACTCTGAGGAAAGGAAGACATCTTGGGTGATTCCCACCATCCTATCAGGGAGAGGCAGGAACCAAATCTTTCTTCCTCTTCCTGTGTGGTGTGGGAATGCCCCCTTCTCAGTTCGGGAGACTCCCAGCAGCAATACTGAATACAATTTACTCCTACTAATGAACAGAGAAAAAACTCCAAACATGAAGGTAAACTTTGAATGGAATGATAGGAAGTAACGTGGATATGACATGAAACCCAGTGAGAATAACAATGGAAAAGAAAGTGGAAGAAGAGATAGATTAAATCACATATCAGAGAAGAGAAAGAGGCGAGAGAGCGATGCATTGGGTGGGGCAAGATGTCCTCCTTTCCTCAGTGTAGAAGGACCCCTCATGGTAAGTGCCAAGGGTCGTTCTCCCGCTGAGGCGGAGGACATCTTGGGTACTTCCAAAGCAGTACCTTAAACCCTGGGCGGGAGATCGCTCTCCTCTTCTACGACGTGTTGAAGGACTCTTCTTCTGAAGGAAGCGTCAGCCAAGTCATATACATTCAGCTTTTAATGCCTAACGAAGGTGGAAATGGATGACCAAGTTGTGGCCCTACAGACTTCCTCAACCGAAGCGTGTTTCGCCAATGCTGCATTGGTGGATGCACTCCTGACTGAGTGAGCTGTGATCCCGGAGGGGACTTCAAGATTGAGGGTTTTGTAAGCTTCCACTATACATGATTTGATTGTGAAGCTAACTGCAGACTTGGACATCTTATTCCCCAAGTTTGGAGGTGAGATGTTAATGAACATGGACTCAGTTTTTCTAATGTGGGCAGTACGAATTAGGTAAGCTTTGAGGGCTCTGCGAACGTCCAATATGTGCCAGGCCCTTTCTCGAGGATATTTTGGGTCTGGACAGAAGGAGGGGAGGTAAATTTCTTGAGAGTTATGAAACCTAGAAACTACCTTCGGTATGAATGTCCGGTCTGTACGAAACACTACCTTGTGGAAAACACACAGGCCAGGCTTCGTAGAGAGTGCCCCGATTTCAGAGATATGTCTGGCTGAGGTCATGGCCACCAGGAATATCGCTTTCATGTGTAACCATTTCTGAAGAATGTCCTCAATGGGTTCAAATGGTGCCTTGGTAAGGGCGGACAGGACCGTATGCAGTCTCCATGTTGGAAGTCTGTGTACTTGAGGAGGGCTGTGTAGTGTTGCTCCTCTCAGAAACCTACGTATGTGTGGATATGCAAACAAGGAATGACCCCTCGCATGGGGAAGCACAGAAGCCAAAGCTGTGACTTGTTTCTTAAGTGTTGCTGGTTTCAGACCGGATTTGAGGCCATCATTCAGGAAATCCAAGATGGAACAAATAGGAGATTTCATGGCGTCCACGGATTTTCTTCTACACCACCTGTAAAAGGCTTTCCAAGTGGCATTATATATTTTAATAGCAGAATACTTTCTAGAAGAAAGGATTGCATCTGTCACATCTGAAGAATATCCAAGCCTCAAGTAAGAGAACCGTCCAAGTTCCAAACGATCAAAAGTAGACATTCTGGGTATGGATGCCACACTGGACCTTGGATGAGCATGTCTGGAAATATGGGTAGACGCAGAGGCGGAGACATGGACATTTGTTGCAGAGTCAAGAACCACAGCTGAAGAGGCCACCACGGGGTTACCAGGAGAACTGTAGCCTTCTGTTGTTTTATCCTCCACAGTACTTTGGGTAATATCAGAATGGAAGGAAACACATACATTAGACCCTTTGACAAGGCATCCGATGCCTCCTCTCTGTCATGGACGAACCTGGTGAAGAACGGGCCTCTGTCAGCTGGCAGGCCTCACTCTGCTCACCCCTCCTTTGCCTGACCTGGCACCTGAAGGGGCAGTTCTTCTCCACTGCCTCTGGGTATTGTTGATACCACTGTCCCTGTCTTGGGCTCTGGTTAGGCAGGACAGCCTCCTAACCTCCCTCCGGTCTTACTAGGAACCCGCCTTGGGGCTTCCTGGCAATCTTTAGGGCTCCCCTAGAGAGTTGGCAACTGACCGTTCTGCCCCTATTCTCCTCCTCAGGGAGTCCCTGACCCACCCCTAGCGTACCCAAGCGGCTGGGGGAACTAGGTGGTACAGAGAGATCTCACTCCTTTATCATTTAAAGGATTTATTTGAAAACAATTAACTATTTACAGGCATACAGTGAACTGAAGAATCAAAAATAAAGGTGACAAAACTGCTCCATCTCTCCCTTCTCTGCACTCATACCCTGTCTAAATGGACTGCAGATTGCTTCATTTCATTGGAGAAGGTTAGATCAGCATGTCTCCCAACATGGCCTCTGCCTCCTGCAGACTCCAACCAAAAGTCTGACTGGCTTCAGACTTCTCACAGACTGACTTCTGATAGACTGACTTCCCGCCCAAAACTCCACTATATAAAACAGCAGATTCCCGCCCAGGAAGTGGCTCTCCCTCCTGCAGCATTCTGGGGCAGATCTCCTCACAACCTTGATGGATTTCCTGTCCTCTCTAGGGAGCTGCCCTCAGATTGCTGGATGACAGAGAGACCTAAAGAGTGGGCCATTCTCTTGACTAAATCAGTGTAGGAGGTAAGCTTGTCCAGTGGAGATACAGGTAAGTCCTCCGCAACGTCTTGGTTGGGAGATGCAAGGTCTGGAGAGGTATGAGCCTCAGAAGCCTCCGTATCTGAGTCCTCTTCCATGAAATCAGAGGAGTCTTGTTGTGGCATGTGGACCGAAATGTCCTGTTGAGAAGGTACTGGTTTCCGTTGGACGACAAGGAACGACAGGGTTTGGAGTGACCGGAGGATTGAGAGGACGACTTGGTTCCAGAGTATGGTGGGACGGATCGACTATAAGAGGACGCGACAGAGATGCTGAAGGTCTCAACTTGTGTGGGGATCTCGACCTATGGAGTGGGTTGAGGACCGATCCCAATCAGAATAGCCCGCTGGAGTCAACCACAGCATGGACGGTGGGTAAGCCCCGTAGAGGTACCTCAACTGTCGTTGATCCCACGGTATTGGCGATGGGGGAGGCAGGAAGACTCTGGGGGAGCGGCTTCTGGACCGTGGACGTCTGGGAGACAAGGCAATAGCTTGTTTGTGTGTATTGTCCCTGTAATGTCGGTCGTCGATATCGACAGATTGAGTGAGCAGACGAGGAGGGTGACGCTGCGTGTCACATGAGGCATATCAGTGCCAACGTGGATCAACGTCGGGAGCTTCTGATACCGTCGATGTCGACGACGGAGGAGGAGACGGAGAATGCTCTGCATCCATCTGATGACTTAGGAGCTCTACCGTTTCGATGTCGGAGTAAGGAGGCTCCATCTGGTGGACAGGGGAGTCCAATACATGGATGGTCGGTATCGGTGGAGGGACTTGGGCCTCCAATATCGATACTGCCGTTTTTTCATGTCTAAAAGCTAGTAATTCTCCAACTCGTCTTGCTGAAGTGACAGCAACAAGAAAGGCCGTTTTCCATGACAGGAGTTTTAGGTCGCAGGTTGTGAGTGGCTCAAAAGGTTTCCTGGTGAGTTGGCGAAGGACCAGGGGAAGGTCCCAGGGGACGACAGGAGTTTTGATGGGAGGGTAGAGGTGCAACAGTCCCTTCAAAAAACGTTTGGAAAGTGGGTGCGAGAACAGTGTGCATCTCTCAACTTGAACATGATAGGCCGAAAGTGCGGCCAAATAAACCTTTAACAAGGAGTGAGAAAGTCCCGAGTCAGCGAGAGACAGAAGGAATTGAAAAACTTTCTCGAGATCTGCGGAGGTGGCTCGAGGGGCATTGTCACCCAAGGTGGAACAAAATTCTTGCCACTTGTAGTGATACGAACTTTGTGTATTGGGCTTTCTGGAGTTTAGCAAAACGTTTGCTATGCGGGCGGAAAAGCTGTTGACGCTACTCTCCAGGCTGTCAACTTAATTTGTGGCACGTCGTGGTATAGGAGAGGGGACTCAGATAGGAAGAGGAGGTCCTGTGCTGGAGGAAACTGGTGGTAGATTCCCGCTGACAGGTTGAGGATGGTTGAGAACCATGGTTGCCTTGGCCACCACGGAGTTATGAGGACACAGTCCGCTCTGTTGCTGATGATTTTGCGGACCACTCTCAGGAGCAGAGGCAGTGGAGGGAAGAGGTAGAGAAATCCTCTGGACCACGGAAAGAGGAGACCGTCCCCTAGAGACTGTGGGTCCCTGCCACCTCGGCTGAGGAACAGAGGACACTTTTTGTTCGCTCTGGTGGCAAAAACATCTATTTGGGGAACTCCCACCTGCGGAAGAGTGGGAGAAGGTAAGTTGGGTTCATTTCCCACTCGTGCAGACTGAGTTCAGCCCAACTCAGGTGGTCTGCCTTCACATTCATGTGACCCAGGATGTGAGTGGCGACTAAGAAGATGTTGTGGGCGATGCAGAAGTGCCATACATGGAGGGTAAAGTCGCAGAGATGTTGGGAGACTGTGCCCCCTTGCCTGTTCACATAGCTGAGGGCAGTAGTATTGTCTGTGAGGACTGTGACACACTTCCCCTTGATTAGGGGCAGGAAGCAGGTAATGACGAATTGTATTGCCAGAAGCTCTAGGAAATTTATGTGCCGACGTCAGTTTTGTGCGTCCCATCTGCCTCTGACACGAAGTCCCATCATGTGGGCAACCCAGCCCGAAAGGGAGGCATCTGTTGTTATGGTGATCCTGGGTGCAGGTGCATGGAACGGAGCTTCTTGTAAAAGATTGGAGGGGGCGGTCCACCAAAGTAAGGAGTCCCGTACTTTGAGCGGCGGGGACAGGTGGGTGGAATGTGTGTCTCGCTGTGGGTTGAAATTGCGAATAAACCAAAGCTGTAGGATACGCATTTTTAGCTTGGCGAAGACCAGGACGGATGTGGTAGCAGCCATCAGACCAAGGAGCCTCTGTATTTGGAAAGCCGTTACCGAGGGTCGAGTACAGATGACAGTGGCAAGAGTCATGATGTCCGCGGCCCTGTTTTGTGGCAGGTAGGCTCTGCAAGCTGTGGAGTCCAGTAACGCACCAATGTACTGTATTTTCTGGACCGGTCGAAGTTGAGATTTTTCCAGGTTTACTTGTAGACCTAGGTTTTCCAGGAGGACTAGCGTCTCGTTGATTTTTGAGACTAGATCATCCCTGGAAGTTGCTACCAAGAGCCAATCGTCGATGTACGGGTAGATGGCGATACCCTTGAGACGGAGGAAGGCTGAGACCACCACCACTGTCTTTGTGAAGACTCTCGGCACGCTTGAGAGGCCGAATGGCAGGGCTGTATATTGGTAATGATGTTGACCAATAGCAAAGCGTAGGTATTGGCGATGGGACGGGTGGATAGTGAGGTGGAAGTATGCGTCTTGGAGGTCTAGAGTGGCCATCCAGACGTTCCTCTGGAGAAGTGGCAGGATTTGCTGCAGGGACACCATGCGGAAGTGGTGGTATTTGACGAAGCAGTTTAGCGCCCGTAGGTCTAAGATTGGTCGAACACCTCCATCCCGCTTTGGGACGGTGAAAAAGTGGAAATAGAATCCCTTGCCCCTTAGATGTAGCGGCACTTGCTCTATGGCTCCCTTCTGCAGAAGGACAGACACTTCTTTGAGGAGGGCCGAAGAAGGGGGCGTGGAGGCAAAGACAGGGGTAATGGGGTTCTGATGAAATTCTGTGCAATAGCCCTGGGTCAGGATGGACAGCACCCATTTGTCTGTGGTGATGTGACGCCAGGTTTGGAGAAAAGGGGTTAGACGGGTTGGATTTGACTTGGAAAAAGAAAGAAAGCTGAGGAAAAAATCAGAAGAGCCTGTGAGGCAAAAATAGTACCGATCAGACTGTCGAATAGAGGTGCTTCCAGCGCGGCGGAAAGAAAGGAACTGGCGGGATGTCCGTGCCCACCCCTCTGGGCATGCGTGGTGTGGTTCCTGCGCATGCCCGAGGTCGGTGCGAAAATCCGTTAAGAGTGTGCTACAATGCCGATCGATCCAGCGCATGCACACTGAATCCCATGGGTGTGAAGCACAGAGACCATGTTGAAGATTTATTTTTACACACATTCAACCTCAATCCACTGAAGGACATATGGGAAAAGGTTTCACAAAAGGCAGCTGCTGAGGGAATGGGCTGGGTAGTTTCTTCATTTAGCATCCAGGGACTCATGAGATCCCCCCCCCTCTCCCCCTCACACACACACACAAAACAGCCTTATACTAACTCAGACCATTGGTCCATCAAGGTCAGTATTGTCTACTCAGATTGGCAGCAGGGCCTCAGATCAAGGTCTTTCACATCACCCACTCCCTGATCATTGTACCTGGAAATGTGGGGGACTGAACCAGGGACCTTCTGCATGCTAAACAGATGCTCTACCACTGAGTCAAATCACTAAATACAGCCCCTTCCCTTAATATGTTTGTCTAGAAAGCTGAGAGTGATGGGAGTATAATGTCATCTAACACAGTCTGGGGGACTGCAACAGGCTCAGATCAAAGTAGACCTAGATATCCTATTTATCCAACCAAACAGTACCCTGTGTCATCTTTCTTAGGTTTCGCCCCTCCCTTTAAACTTACTTGTAAGTAATATGACAAGAGTGATGAATCCAGACAAGTTTGTTGAATCTCTGGCGTCCACTGGAACACAGCTGTAGCCCTACATGAAAACTGTGATCGGTTTCTTGCACAGGGACGCGGCAGAAATATCTGTACTTGTGGTAGTCAATTGGTTTCTATATGACAAGCAAGGGGGGGGGGGAATCTATCAAGAATATGCAGCTGTAGAGATGATTTCCAAATTGGTATATGAGTCAGAATTGATAATGAATTACACAATCCACATATTTTCATTTGTACAAAACATTATAAGTTCTAAATCATTTACCATGTAATGGCTAGACTTGAGAAATTAGAACATCAATGGGCTATCAAGATAAAAAAATCAGCACCCACTCAGTGTGGACAAAGAACTCATTTTACAGGAAACTGGATATGCTATTCATTTGTAGCATATATTAAAAAGCATACAAGCATCCTAAGTATAAAAAAACAGGTTGCTTACCAGTAACTGGTGATCTTCGAGTGGTCATCTGTGCTTCACACCAATGGGATCTAGTGCGCCTGCGCTGGATCTGCCGGTGCCTAGCAAGCTCTCTTACAAGGATTTTCGTGCCTGGCCCAACTGAGCATGCTCAGGAGCCCCAGTGAGCATGCCCAGAAGGGCAGGCACGGACATCCCGCCAGTTCCTACCAACCGCTGCACATCAATCTCCTAACAAAACAAGTAGAAGAAGACAGCAGCGGGGCAGGAGGGCGGGTGGTGTGAATGCACAGATGACCACTCGAAGATCACCAGTTACTGGTAAGCAACCTGTTTATCTTCTTCGTGGTCTCTGTGCTTCACACCAATGGGAGATTAGCGAGCAGTAGCCTACCTGGAGGCGGGTGCTGTCAGGTGTTTACTGCTTAGCCGATGATAAAACCTGACGTCCCAGACTGTCACAGGTGGACTGGCGGACGTCTAGGGCGTAGTGCCTGATAAAGGTAGTAGGCGTGGCCCAGGTT